GCAAAGCTACACGAGAGCTATCTGCGCTAGCCGTCCCTAATTTAGCAGTACAGGGCTAGAGGGAAGGCAGCTAGTCATCACCACCCACCGCCAACTCTTGGGCTACTCTTTTACCAACGAATAGTGCGATTGACCGTCAAATTATAACGCTCCCACGGCTGCATGTTTAGTTTTTCTTTTGGAAGATATTTTTATTAACACCAAAACAATATTTTGGAAATTTCACTGTATTTTTTCGAAGCAAGAGCTCAAGTCCTAAAGTTACTATGCTACGTTTTGTATTAGAAATTGTTCTAGCAGATTACCTTTTGTTCAGAATTACTACCAAAACAAAACAATATCTGTGCGATAGACTTACCATTTCATGGTTAAATAAGTTTGCAATATTTTAGGGTATTATTTCATATGATGCCAGTTCATTAAAATCTTATGACATTTAGAATATTTCTGAGCCTATAGAAATAACATCTATAACTAGATTGATTATATAGTTATGACCCCCCCCCCCCAAAAAAAAAGAAGATGTAAACGGTTTTCAAAATTTTTGGACGTGCCTTATGTTTGTAAATTTCTTTGTTTCAAATGTTGCAAAAAAATTTATAATGCAAAAAATCACCTGTAAGGATGACAACAATAGCTCGCTCACATGGGGTGTCTCTCTTCCGTCACTTGCAACAACACCTGGTAATTTTCTCAGGATTTTCGTTAGAGGGAGCCATCGTACTGATAAGCTGTTTAGTGTTTTCGGGTCGGAAACGTTTTTTACACTGCTTAAAACAACAATACTTTCCTTGTCTTTGATGGGCTTATAGTACAATTGTCCAAGATCTTGAACACCTAGCGCTACCTGGAAAAAATCCCATAAAATTTAATTAGTTTAAATTATTTCATAGAAAAAAAACAAAAAAACTTGCAAAATGAGACGCGTAAGAAAAGTTAACGTAACATATGCCTGTCAGTGTAATATTAATAATATCATTAAATGCTATAAGAGTTATAATAATGTTTAGTGAATACATTTTCTTATGCAAGCGTTGACTTCAATTGCACTATTGAGCTCAGCTGATGAGAACGGATCTATTTTTGTAGGAAATGATTATATATATTTATTGATTATTTTAAGAATGAAACTCCTACTGTTTGAGAATGCTGGTGTTTGTTTGTTATGAAGCACAAAACTACACAAAGGACTATCTGTGCTCTGCCCACCACGGGTATCAAAACCAAGTTTCTAGCTGTATAAGTCCGCAGATATACCGCTGTGCCACTGGGGGCGTTTGAGAATGCAAAATAACAAACCATACTGCAGAGGCATTACTAGATGCTTAAAATTTTTAGGGCTCGAGCCCATAGGCGCGTGAATATTCGGCGTTTCAGGATGATATCAATCATGGTTTTCTATTTTGATTTTTGAAGACACCAACTGGGGATTTGGGGCACTATTAACTAGCATTGGGGCACAGGCCTTGTGTGCCAGCACCTAGCGACGCCTCAGCCATACGGAATGGACTTATAAACCATAAATAATATGATATTGTCAGTCTCTCCTACTGCATATATTTCACATGTTAACTTGAATGGGATCAAGATACTTTATATATACAGTATATATATATATTATAAAATGATCAGTTACTTTCCATATGACAACAAATGGGATGTTCTATGAATATTTGTAAATATGAAATTATAGCCTGCTTGTATAAACGATAAAAACTGGTACTCTGCATCGTATAACGTGTGTTTTAATGTACAACCTACAAGAAGAAGAGCCACAAAATTTGTTTTATATATATAAAAAGTAGATTGAAGTATTGGTATAGTTTTGAATTAAACCTCATTATTTGTTTGTTCGTTTTTAAGAACAAACCTATACAATGGACTATCTGCGCTCTGCCCACCGCGGGTATCGAAACACAATTATTGGCAGTGTAAGCCCTACACTTGTCGCTGAGCCACAAGGGAACGAATTAAGCCTCATTACAGTTTGTTCACTATAAAGCTATAATAAGCAGTAAACCTTGAAAATTGCTTAATTTCGTAGAAGCTCCAGAAAAAAACTGGAATTTTAAGAAAGCATGCGCTGTACGGTTTCTATGATCCCCTCTAAAGTGCTTTTTTGTAGTATTTAGACCTTGTGGTTTTACTTGATGGTCGATATTGAGGAGGCTCAGTTGTCTATGATTATTCCTTTTCAATGTTCTTTTACAGTAAAATCCAAATTTGCTACTTTTCTTCTTCTTGTAGGTAGAATCGGAGGGGTCGCTAAGCGCTGGCACAGGGGGGCCGTGCCCCAATTCTATTTGACAGTGCCCCAAATTCCCAGATGGTATCTTGATAAATCAGAATAGAAAACTATGATCGATTCATACTGAAACGCGGAAAATTTCTGCGCCTATGGGCCCGAATCCCGAATATCTTAAGTATTTAGCGACGCCTCAGGGTAATATAGTAAAAAGAAAAACGCATTAGAATTTACATATTGAAGAATACCAATTTTTTATCGTTTATACAAGCAGACTATAATTTCATATTTACAAATATTTCTAGAACATTCCATTTGTTGTCATATGCAACAAACTGATTATGGTATAAGTCGGATGATTGCTTAAGCCAAATAAACACAAGAATGGTTGATTAGTCTGCATGCTTAGGCTAAATAAACACAATAATGGTTGAGTAATTTATAAGAAAGTGGAAAGAGCAAACATCACTTTGGCAGTTAAAGAAGTGAGTTCCCGTCTATCAAGGGCGTCGTAATTAAATATCATTCCTGTAACTGGCTGTTGAAAAACACCTGTCAACTCCTACCAACTTTTTTTTTTATATGCCTGTCACTAAATAGAAGCTATGGTTCACACACACATATGTGACTTACCATCAAATGGAGAGGCTAGTAAGGTGTAACAGATATAATTGCATGCGACTAATCATCAACTGGAGAAGTTAGTAAAGAGTAATAGACGTCAGCTTGTGTCCCGGTTGACCTCCAAAATTAATTCAACCGTTTGAATGTCTCAGTTCAACAAATTCAAGAAACGGAGATAAACAAAATTAGCAAATTTTGTCCCCCCCCCGTGAAATTTCTTTGACTACGTCAAATTTTGAACCGCCACCAGATTCGAAGGTCGTTATAAAACTGTGATATGTCAGTTCATACCCATCTCGAGAAGTATATATTTTTTCAGATACAAAAACCAAAAAGCACGGTTTCGGTGATTCTTAACACACAAACTTTGAATAAAGAAGGAATAGAAGCGGGTGATATGATCTGATGAGTCGCATTTCAAATTGTTCTTTAGTGAAGATAGAATAAAAAATAGATGAGGCAATTATCCCTTGCTCGTTCAGTTTCAACATCTGTTGGATGTGGTGTAATGGTGAAGGAGACGTTCTTATAGTAGGATAGAAACCAGCTGATTTATTTTGAAGGTTGAATATTATCTACTGGTGTACTTGGTCGTTGTTGCTGGACATGTCCAGTTTATAATACTGCATTTCTACCGTCTTCAAAAAAGGTAATGGAAAAATCCACCTCAGGCGTCATTGTCCATCCATAATTTGTTTGAATAGCATGAAACTGATTCCTCCTTTGGCCTGCACAATCACCAGGTCTTATTCCTGCTGAACGTTTCATTAGTAGTCAGGGGGTCTGTGATGAAAAAGGACTCAAGAAATGAGTTTCGTTTACTTCACGGTCTGGAATTCGAATCTGCTGGCGGTTCAAAATTTGAGGTAGTCAAAGAAATTTCACGGGGGACAAAATTTGCTAATTTTGTCTATCTCTGTGTCTTGAATTTGTTGAACTTAGACATTTAAACTAACTAAAAAGGGTTAAGTTCATTAGAAATAATATTTAAAACAAAACAACTTCAAACCATGGTGATCTTAAAAACTGAAAGACGGGTGGGGTAAAATCTTTCCAATAGCTCTTACCTGACATAGTGGTTTAATTAGCTAATTGACGTTATTATTCTGTTTTAGGTGCAATTGTTTCATTAAAATTAGCCGAATTGTATAGATGCACAAAATAAATAAAATAATTGTCAAGTTGGGATAAGGAAAACCCCTTAAAGGAACACTATTCGAACTTGAAGTAGGACATTGACTATGAATTATAAGAAATGCTCACGAATAATGATAGTTTCAACGAAATGTCTAACCGCATCTCATTTTGGAAATAATCTAGTCCAGTTGTGAATCAGATCAAAATTCACGTCATCGTCTTCCATTTGCGAATTTTCACAACACCATCGTAATTTCAAGCCTCGGTGCAATGCATCCCAAGATTCTTGCAGCGATATTGACCACAAAAGCTCTTCGTACAGGCACGTACAACTAACTTTACAGTTGAGTTTGGTGCTGCTTCAACTTTGACAAAGCCTGACACAAGAGAATCATCATCAACATATTTCCAACCTCTCGTACCTAGAGATGGTAGACGATGAATGGTTCGCAATGCATGGCTCCAGATAAACGTTTTGAAGTTTATCAACGGAAAGATTTGTCGGTGGGAGCTTGGTGTGAATAAAAAGTGGTCCCAATAGCCTAGATTTTGAAAATCTAGACTGTAGAACTTGTTTACAAAGAATCTTGTAGCTAGTAGAATACTGCGATTTATGTTGGATATATTGTTGTCTAAATTCAGCAAAAGGCCAGTGATGGTGGAGAGGTGAATCACATCCTGTAAAATCGTAAATTGCTGTTAGATATTTACAGCTTTTCTTGCCTACAGATGAAACAGTGTTATGAAAGAGAATGTACTTTTTCTTTGTCTCTGATACACTAATACACTGATACACGCGTGCACCAGTGGCAGTATAATGATGACAACACACCATTGGTACGTCAATATCGGGAGAACAGACGACAATTATACCAAAACCATTAGGTCTGGAGTACATGTGGTGCAAGAGCATCCTTTTAACAGCCTCGTCTTGGTAAAGTAAATAGTAGATAAAATATAAAGGTTTGCTGGAAAAAAGTTTTGATATTTGTTTGTTTGTAGTTAAGCACAAAGCTACACAATGGGCTAGCTGTGCTCTGTCCATCACGGGTATCAAAACCCGGTTTCTAGCGTTGTAAGTCCGCAGACATACCGCTGTGCCACCGGGGGGGGCTGATATTTATTTTAAGAGATTCTAGGGGTTTTGCAAAGGAAATGCGAAATTGTTAGAGGAAAAAAGTATTTCTCAGAGTTTCAGTCATAAATTCACAGACAAATATTTAATAAAACTAATTAACTAAAAATCTGATTTTTTTTGGTCTTCAAAAGATTTGTAATGTTTACTAAAAGCTTGCCAAATTTCGTGAAGATACACAGAGAAAATTCAGAGGTATAATATCAGTAGTTGCACGATTACACGTTGGTTGCAAGATCGGTCATTTCGACCAACCCCATATGCATAGAGTTAAAAAAAAGCTATGGTCTTTTGTGATATTTCTGATAGTTGTTTTGAAAAATAATCCACTTTGTTTATGAAAAGTACCACAAATGATTAAACATTAAATATGCAACTAACGATATAACTGGAAGTCAAATTTCAAAAACGATTTCTTTTGACACAGTTATACGCAAGTCCTTACATTTAACCTTCTATAAAATTGCCCTTACAGTATAAGCGTTTGTATTGCTACCTATTTAGTATTATTCTGGGGTGTCTCTTTTTAAATCGTTTGGATTTTGACAGTGCTGGTTCTCTGGACTACAGACATTGTGATCACCTGACGAATTTTGTGAATCAACTGTGGACCATACTCTTGACAAATTAACCACAATATAAAGTACTATACACCTTCCTTCTGGTGTCTAATGGAGTCTGTGACATTGAGTTCAGTCTATATAGG